GAAGGCGATGATTTTTTGCTCTGTATTGTGACAGGTGACGAAAGCTGGTTTCACCATTTCGAGCCTGAAACGAAACGGCAGAGTATGGAATGGCACCATTTGCATTCTCCATCAAAAAAGAAGGCAAAGACAGTGCCATCAGCTGTGAAGGTGATGGGCACAGTCTTCTGGGATGCAGAGGGGTTTATTCTGGCTGAATTCCTGGAACCTGGGCAAACCATCAATGCTGCTCGTTATGTCCAGACGCTGCAAAAGCTCCGTTCTGTATTGTGTGATAAACGTCCGGGACGAAACATCATCATCCTGCATGATAACGCTCACCCCCACGCCGCTCGTCTCACATTGGAAGCAATTGCAAAGATGGGGTGGGAAGTTCTCCCACACCCCTCCTATAGCCCTGATCCGGCACCCTCCAACTACCATCTTTTCGGATTTGTGAAGGATCAGCTGCATGGACAATGTTTTGGGACAAGGGAGGCAATTCGGAAAGCAGTGTATCAGTGTCTTCGGATGGCTGGAACGGAATTTTACAGAAGGGAAATTTTCCAACTGCCAGAACGCTGGGAGAATTGTGTACAAAGAAGTGGCAATTATGTGGAAAAATAAAGAAAGGTCTGTAGATTGAGGTGGTGTATTTGGTTTGTCAATAATAAAGCATGTTACTTTACAAAAAATTGTTGCTCATGACTTTCAGTACGACCCTCGTAGATACGGTACATAACTATGATAACATGGAGAAAACCATGAAAATATTACATGTGGAAAGAAAGGAGCACTCTTATAACCTAATATATGACACATTAATAAAGACCAATCCAAACATGCATAACCCAACCCACTCTAGAACTCTCTACGAGACCCCACACCACTTCATCCCATTCCCATTTCACCTACTTCACCCCCCTAAATCCTTCCATACCCCTTTGACCCTACTCCTCCATTCCCCCCATAGCCTGTGACAACATGATAGAAATTTTAAAATGTGATAACCAGAAGTAGTATAGACCACACAGCAGAGCATAGCACATAAATTAGACAACATAATAACAGTAATAAACGATATCCTGGAAATAAGAAAGAAGGTAAATTCGTGCTTAAGAAACAGTTAACACAAACGAATCTAGCCAATAATAGAAGAATCAGATGAAAAGATGCGTGGCCTACTACAGCAACAGACATGTAGAAGAATATAGCATACAACACTATTAAAATTAATTTTAAATCAACTTTTAGTTCCTTATATATCTTGTATTTAAATCACCATCTTGATGCTAGAATATAAATGTACATAGAAAGTAGTCATTTTAAGTCTATGTATGTAAACATGCATACATGCTTTAAAGTAAACGTAAAGGTATCCCTGTACCAGGCCGTGAAGGCCCATAGGGTTGTAGAGACGTTGAGGTTCCCACATTATCTAGACAGTCGGCTCAAAGATGGTGGTAAGGTTGTCAGCCTTGCTCGCCGCCTGTGCTGTACTCCTCAGGAAAACTATTTAATCACTTCCTGGTACTCATTTCTGTTAGAGGCTGAGCCGACCCCAGGGCCATAGTGCGGCTGGAAGGATTAGGACAATTGAAAAAAAATCCAAGGACCTCATCGGGACTTGAACCCGCGACCTTTTGGCTTGTACCATAACCCCTTAACCAACTACGCTACCGCGTGCCCCTTGTATACATGCTTCACAATTCAATAATGAAAATGTGTAAATCAAGACACCAGAGGATGACCCTATAAGGGTCAAAACATGTAGTGGAACATAAGTTAATAAATTATATTTGTGTTGATGGTGGAATTTGTATTATTAGTTACACTCACACAACAGGATGCAAACATTAAAAATGTATTGAATTAATTTAGAATCGTGCTGGCTTGGGGATTATTAATGTTAAACCTTTTGGTTCTTTACTTGAAAGTTAGTTAGCTGGAATGCCTTGATTGTCAATATTTGTTTAATTCCATTGCACAATTCAAGTATTTGAACAACTTCATCTGCTCTTTCACTGACTTATCTGTCATTCTTATACCATCCATCTTCATGACCTTAATTTGTCACACTATCACATAATCCTTCCATGACATATCATATTTTATAATTTCTGTTTATCTCTTCTATTTTATTTCTCCATATTGCATTATCTTTGAACCATCTCCAGTCTGCTTACACTTTCATGAAAACGGCAATATATAAGAAAATACTTTAACCATTTATTTTTTCATTTGGTTGATTGATTGGTTGTGGATGACCTTGTATTGCCCTCAGTTTATTTCAATACCATATGTTGAGAAGTCTGTATTTCTGGACCTTCAGATTATGAACTGCTTTGCTTTCTGTGTTATAGTTTATCCGTACTTCTTACTAGAGTTGGTGCTAAACAAGAGTGCAAAGGCATTTCCCGGTTCTGAGTACATAGAGCTTCCAAATTCAGTCTATGAAATTTTACATGGCTGTACATACAATCTTGAAGTTCATGTAATACAGACACAAAGGTATCACCAGTAGAAATATAGCACTTCAGAGTATTTTTGCATGTAGTTTGTTAAAGGTATGCCATATCATAAATGATTCAAATAAAAGTTATAGATCTGAATGAGCTGCATTTTATGTCATGTGCATAATTTATGATAAGATGATTCATTTTTAGAAATATAATATTTGACCTAAGCTTCATACCATGGAAAGATTATATTGGACCCATTCATATTCATACTGATACTAAATTAACTTTACTGCTGTTAGTGTAAACATTCCATACCATACTTCATCTAATTCTGTCAAGTGATGTGGAAGATGAAATATGTGGGAAGATTGACATGATATTTTCATTATGCATTCACTTAGGTACTGAATGCAAAGAGCATGCATAAAGCATTAATACCTAAGTCTAGGTTGACACATAATTGGAGAATGCCACACAATTGACAGTGTAAGAACAGATTCTTTATAATGAGTTTATTTAATTAGATTTTACAGTACTGTGGCAACAGCTGTGTTTGTGTGACATCACAATTTATGTGGTAGGTATGCTGATAATGATGGAAGAATTGGAAGTAGCTTTTAAAAAAAAAAGTGATCACGATCTATCTTGGCATTCTCCAGGAGGAACTAAGGTCATGCATTGAGATCCTTAATCAGGATCATTTGTGATCATCTTTATACTTCATTTAGCAAAGTCATACAAATATGACAGTTCTAGGTTGGATGCCACTTTATATTGTGGGAGAATCAATTTACATCTTTTAGTTGCAGATGGGAAGGGACCACTTGAGAGATGTAGGCATTGATAGAATGATAATATTAAAATGGATCTTAAAGAAATAGAGTGTGAATCATACCGCCCGAGCGACCGCCACTTTATATTGTGGGAGAATCAGTTTACATCTTTTAGTTGCAGATGGGAAGGGACCACTTGGGAGATGTAGGCATTGATAGAATGATAATATTAAAATGGATCTTAAAGAAACAGAGTGTGAATCATACCGACCGAGCGACCGCTGCTTGTTGGCGAAGTTTTAGTGCCAATAACAAGTTAAATTTGTTTCCATTTTTCATTTATTTTGTGCTTCTATGATGGAGTCAAATTTTATGCTGTGACTTTTTAAAAGGGAGTATTGTTTATGCTGGATTTGGGTGAATTTTTTACCTCAGAGTAAATAAGTTAAATTTCTTCCTGTGCAGGTAAACCCACCATATTATGTACCATTGGTGGAGGTAGTACCAGCACCATGGACAGAAGAGTCAGTTGTTACGAAGACTCGTGACATTATGAAGGAGATTGGGCAGGTCCCTGTGTGCTTCAAGAGGGAGATTGAAGGATTTGCTCTTAACAGAATTCAGTGAGTCTTTTTGGTACTTCTCTTACATTTGTGCTACCTTGGTCTACTCTGTTATTGCATAAATCAGAAATGTTTTCATTTATTAAATCACTATGTTATGCAGTAATTTTGTTTAATCGTTGCAAGGAGAAGGATATTTTTGTTGTGAATAAGGATCTGAATTTCTGTCAATATGACAGTCCTCTTTCATAACATATTTTGAAACATATATCACAGCAGGAAGTTGTGGACATATTTTATATTTTCCATATCACTATATTGCTGACAGTGTCTCTATTTACATGAGGATAACTTTATCTATATTTACTGTCATATAAAACTCATACAGTAGATATTGTCAGCTATGAGTGATGGTTATTTGAAAACACTGTATACTAAGGAGACCATATAGACTTGAATGAGGTGAAAAATTATTATATACAGTTGACAGGAAAGGATTACAAATTTTAAGCTGGTACTGATGTGGCAACTGCCTGGAGGAAATTAGAATGATCATAGAATATTTCAGTTTGTTTAGCTGGTGGCTCAGTTAGTGTTCAATACTGCATTCCCCTGGTTACAACTGAAATATGTTATCGCTGCTAATCCTCTTGATATCTAATATATTTTTACATTTTTCATACCAGAGATGTATTAAGAGTGGATTGAAATTTTTGTGTATTACTATTGGGGATTTTAAATTACCTGGTCTCTTAGCATCAGGAGAGGTTATGGCAAGGGGTTAAACAATGAAAAATGCTAATTTAGTTTCACTACATTGTACTCCTTGATGAAATTAGTGACCTTAACACAGAGAAAGTCTCTGATACAATCTCATAAAGATTTCTGTTAGAGACTGCAATATTTCAATTGGCTATTTATTAAATAAGAGTTAATTACTTTAAACTATGTAGGTAAGTCAATAAGTGAGTTACAAATGGATATAGAACTTAAACAAATAAGAATACTGATTTGAAAAATGCTTTTATTTCTCAACATAATATCCCTGTACATTGAGGCACTTGTCCTATCATTTCACAAGCCCCTGAAAACCAGAAGTATAAAATTCTTTGGGCTACTGTCGGAACCAGGCAGTGACTGGGATCATGAAGGCATACTGCTCACCGCATTCCAGCCTCAAGGACAAACCGTAAATGCCGACTCCTACTGTAACATCCTCAGGAAACTTCATAAGGCCATTCAATGGAAGTGACCAAGACTCCTCACCAAAGGCGCGTTGCTCTTGCATGACAACACGCATCCCCATACTGCCAACAAAACAAATGAGAAGCTGCAAAATTTCAAGTTGGAAGTCCTCGAGCATTCTCCATATAGCCCTGACCTTGCTCCAAGCGACTTCCATTTGTTCGGCCCTCTTAATCATAATCTTTCGGCTGAACATTTTCTTGACGATGAAGCTGTAGAAAGGTAAGTCACCACCTGGTTCCGACAGCAGCCAAAAGAATTTTATGCTGCTGGTTTTCAGGGGCTTGTGAAATGATGGGACAAGTGCCTCAATGTACAGGGAGATTATGTTGAGAAATAAAAGCATTTTTCAAATCAGTACTCTTGTTTAAGTTCTATATCCATTTATAACTTACTTATTGACTTACTCTCATAATTAGTTGATAAAAATATAGGCGTTATAAGAGTTCAATTAAGACTTTAAGAATGCTCTTCCCACAAGCTTTGTAGTATTAATTATATAGTGCATAAACTCTTTAGTATCTTAACAAGATAAAGTTTTGTACTGCTTTATTCAAGTGTCATGAACTGAACTGAAATTCTGTTTTGGTCATGCAGATACTGTATTCTGAATGAAGTCTGGAGACTAGTTGCTGATGGAATTCTTAATGTTGAAGACATTGATAATGTCATGTCAGAAGGTCTGGGTATGCGCTACGCTTTCCTAGGACCTCTAGAGACTGCTCATCTCAATGCTGAAGGTATATCAGAGGGAAAGGCTTTTTTAGCACTTGACCACCATATCGATAACATCTTGGACCCACCCAGCCTGCTGGCCAGTGCTCTTAGGGTCTGGTGGAAGTAAAGGCAGTCAGATAACTCATGCATACTTGACTTTGCAACTACCAAGTCACGTCCCCTACCTTCACACAGGGACAGTTTCATATCTTACTTTTTATATATAGCAAACAGTAATTATTTCTTTTTATGCTATATGGGAGCTGGGGTAGTGTAGTCAGTATAGCGACTGACTATGGGCTGGATGACCAAGGGGACAGAGTTCGAGTCAAGAATTTTCTGTTCTCTATGTCATCCAGACCAGCTCTGGGGCCCTTCCAGCCTCCTATCCAATGGGTACTGGGGGGCTCTATCCCAGGGGCAAAGCTGCGGGGGCTTGAAGCTGACCACTCACTTCCAACTAGTGCCAAGGTGAAGAAAATGTAGATCTATACATCCAGTCCACCATAGACCTTCATGGAATAGTGCTTAATTAGTTGAGTACAGGGACAGCTTCACCGTTTACATTTTATGCTATACTCTAAAGTCATTTTTAAACTAGAAATTGGTCGGTGGAAGTATATTATAATGTTGGCTCTGTTTTTCTGTGGCCTAACCTCATATGGAATGTGGTACTAAAATATAATTCATTATATTAGTGTGAACATATTGTGGATTAACTCAGGATGCCTGCCAAAATATTTAAATTGATAGGGGTTGGCTTTGTGTTATAACATCTAACAATGCCTTATCCATCCTCTTGCATGTAACTGTTAGAGATCTTTTCCAAACTATATATTCAGTGTCACAATGCTATTACCACAAGTGTATTTAAAAAGGTGCTACAAAATTTGTGGATATTTTAAAAATATGGAATACCCATCCTTGGGAGCTGTTACTTAGCCATGCCTAATGAAGACACAGAATCCTTAATGTTTGCAGTAGTGTAGTGTATAGATTAGTAAGAGCATTATAATTATTTGTAGCTGCAAGTTATAAGGGTTCAATAAATCCAATTATCGATCCAAATCCCGTCTCTAGAAACTAACATGTGTCAATATGTTGTAACACAAAAATATGTATGAGATGAAAATTAGACAATCTATAGTAAAAACATTTTATATTGTTTATATCAGCATGGTGTTACCTGGTTTTGTAGGTATGGAAAGCTACTGTGATCGCTATAGCAAGACAATTTATGATGTGAGTGTGACATCTGGTCCGGTGCCAAAGTTCGAAGGTCCACTTGTGAAGGAAATCAACGAACAGCTCTGTGCCAAAGTACCAATTGAAAAGTTACCTGAACGTCGGGCATGGAGAGATGCCTGTCTTACCAAGCTGTCAGTTCTCAAGAAAGAGGCGAACAACTAAAGAGCACCAAACAATGCAATGTGCATTATCATATAATTATACTGTATATATTATACATTAGATTTGTACTGAGCAGAAGCAAATATACATATATTTAATCCAAAGTCCATTTAATTTTGATTCACTCTCATTTGCAGAATATTGCAATGTGATTAATATTCATATTTCACATTTGGAAAGTTATGAATTAGAATATTATTTGATTTATTTATTAATGATGTCATTAACTCAAGATTATTTTGTATCAAATGATACAATAATTAATGAACAATGAACTGGAAAGATGTGGAACAAAGAAATCCTGTCCTAATTTGAGGTACTGAATAGTGAAGGTGGCAGCTTCACCCATTTTACTTAACAACAATATATATTGTTTCTACTGTTCTACTGCTGATCCCCCACCCTTCAGCACCATCAACTTTCAGACTTGGTTAAACAGTACAGTCCCAGCATTTGTCAAGACTGAAGAAAACCATGAAACTTACCAGAGCCAGTCTTTGTGCATAGATTTGAATCTGGGACCCTCCAAATATGAATTGGAAATGCCAACCACTCAACTGCTATATTTTAATTAATATTTAATATTAAATAAAATACTGGTTATTTATATATTCTTTGCACTGTGTGTGTGTGTGTGTGTGTGTGTGTGCACGCCTACAGGGCTGGTCATGTGTCCATCTACCTGCATGTTTCAAATCAAGAAATGCTGAATGGGAGTTTGAAGAAATCTGTTCAAAGGCTACCCAAAACTCATACTTTTTCTAAGGGACGGAACAGAATAGGTGTTTTCCTTCACCTGAGGATGGAAACAGATCCATTTTCTGAAACGTCGTGTTTTTCTTAGTTATCTTAAAACCAGGACGATGGATAAAGTGTGAAAACCCAATATCTCTAAGTGTTATACACCATCGTCAGAATCCTATAGTAACTTCCTAAGAGGAAGCTCCTCCCTGAAACAGGCCTCATTGGTCCAGTTCAAAATTTGGAAGTTCACCAGTAATTTACACTTTCAAATGATATAGTTTTGCTGCATGATTTTAGCCCGTAAAGCTTCGATGGTGCTTTTGACAGCAGCCTGATGTATAACAGCTTGGCTTGGGTACTGGGCCATCCCACTTTTAACCTCAAATTACTAAAGGCATGACAATGTAGCTAGAACAGCTAAAATTCCAGAGTGTATAGTGAATGCTACATCCTGTCCACACAGCAAGAATGAGTTTTTGTCACTTTCTGAATGTAAAAATATGACTGATTACTCCTTATTCATAATCCATGGCTTGCATTTAATTGCTCTTAATTAACATAATTTATAGTAATCCTAATTCTGGTGAATGGCCACAAATCCGTATTAAATAGTCTCTTAGTGAAAAATTAAAACATGGCGATATAAAACTTTTGTCATCGGCAACAAATTTGAAGTTTCTTGCAAGAAGAAAATAAATATTAATAATACTACTGCCATTAACAGTAACAATCTGTAATATATTTAAAACTGAAAGTAATAAAAACATTCAGACACTACTAAATTTTGATCCCATGACTATCTGTGAACTATCTGCTAGCCTGAGCTATGTGCCTTAGGCTAGCTGATGTATTTTTTATATTGACAATACCAGATTTTTAAAGTTTCACTTGAATGTTGTATATTCATATCTAATTAAGATAAATATATGTTGTTTTATGAACACTTTAATAAAATGAATATGTGAAGGGAAATCTCAGTGTATGCTGTTGCATCACATCCTGTGTGATTGTGAGGCCATAGCTTATTTAAGATCTCGTCAGTTCTTTATGGAACCAAATGGGTCCTACACTTTATTAGAAGTGTAGAATTAATAAAGGGCTAATCCAAGGGGAAACACAATAGATCATTGAAGGTTGCAGTGTGGGAGCCAGTTTTTATGGCTAACCCCTTACACACATTACATGCTGTTGCATGTACTGAATAATTTCACATATCAGAACAAAGTCAAGGACCTGTATTACAAACTGTACAGTTCTAACATATATTTGCATATTTTAGTGATGATGGATGTTATGCCCTCAGGTTTATGTCAGGTATTATGTTTTTAATGTTAATATGTCTGGGGCTACACTAGAACAAGTATTTTGAAATACAGTTAGGAAATATGAAATGGAATGTATGAATGTACCGCGTCAGCGCAGCAATGCTGACTGGGTGGAAGCATGTTACGCAGAAAGCAGGACGCTTGGAGGTAAGAATGCTGAGTCGAAGGGGGCTGGCAGATGGACAACGCGAACCCCCCATCAGCAGGCAGCCAATGAAAGCTAGCCACCCTAACAAAATCACGTCATTGCGGGTAGGAGTACACCCTCACGGAAGTTGACGAGTTAGCAAAAAGAGAGTATAAAAATACTGGAGGAAAACTTGAGCCACCTGACAGAAGAGGAAAGACGAGTTGTGAGACCAGCTCTGCTAGACTACCAAGACTTGTTTAAGAAGACGGAAGATGGAATAATCCCGTGTACAGACCTAGGGCACCATGAAATTGATACAGGGGATGCAAGACCTGTAAAACAGAATCCTTATCGCATCCCGTATGCTCTACGGGATAAATTATGAAATCAGGTAGAGGAAATGGTAAAGAAGGGGGTTTTGACCAAAGCTGCCATGGAATGGGCTGCACCAGTAATCCTTATTAGGAAAAAAGTTAAGTATCTATTTTGTGCCGATTTTAGGGGCCTGAATGTTGTAACGAAGATACCAGTGTTTTGTATACCCCTAGTCCAAGAGAACCTGGATAGGTTAAACAGAAATCGGTATTTTTCATTTGTGGACCTCAAGGACGCCTACTATTGCCTCCTGCATCCCCCAAGCATCCCAGGAGAACTGCGAACTCAAAGCCAAAGAGGCAGAATTCAATGAATTTACCTAGCCTGCCATTTACGGCAGAACAATGGAAAATATAAACTGGATTGCAATTCATTTTACATGATGTGAACAGTAATATAACTCAATGAGTTTATGGATAAATATTAGGAAATTTGACTCCTATTTTAAAAGACAGCAGTACAAACACTGTATTCATTTCTTAAAAGTTGTACTGCTAATTCATATCGTTATATGTTCACATCTATTTGTAACAGCCAGGGGCATTCAAAATGTTTAATTTTATTTTTATATGTTATTTAATGATGCTGTCAGTATCCAGACTATACAGCATTGATTATGAGGTGATTAGTGAATATGTAGCTGTTGGTGGAATGAGAATTGGCAGGGGAAACCCCTTACTGGGAGAAAACTCGCCCCAGTGTCACCTTGTGCACCACAAATGCCGTATGACCTGACCTGGTATTGAGCTCAGACTGCTGCAATGGCATTCAAAATGCTAAGTGCAAAGAACATAAGTGGAAATTCTGTGTATTCAGCTACAGACTAGGCCTTTCCAATTTTGTTGTAATTTGTGTGTACTCATCTCTAGGGCCTACAGAAAAAAGTACACACAGAAGACAAGAGTCTAGGCAATGCAAAAATGGGGTCTTAAGATAGTCACCTTCTGGATGACCGAGAGTAATGAAGCATCATCAAGTAAAGAGGCAAAACGATCTTCTTACCCTAAACTATATCCTGAGCCAGTTGAGTTCAATTCAAATCATAAACCTCTCCCCCAAAGACCATTATTTTAGCAATATCATGGTCTTTCTAGTGGCAATTCTTCAAAAAGGATTCCTCACTGTAAATCTGTATATATTCTTGTCTCAATTTTCAAAGCGACCTGCTAACCACTTTGGAAACATTCTTAATTAACACAATTATGGTTATGAATGATAATTCATAAATGAGTTCTTGAAAACAGCAGGGAATCTATTACAAGCAAGTACCATAAAAGAAACACAAGAAGAATGTTATGAACAACTGAAGACTTAAAAGTCTATACATGTGAATCAATTAAAACTGACAAAACTGAACACAGAGGTCCCTACATAAAAAGATCCTGTTTAAAACTATTTCCTGCCTGAAAAGTTAAAATCATTGTGTTCAACACCACCATAATAATGTATTTACATCCCACATATAAAGATATACTACCTGCAATGACCAATTTTAACGACATGAATTGAACACTTCACTCACTGACATGAGTTTTTATTGTACTATATTATATATGTATATATGTAGCACTCGGTAGTGCTCGGTGATTGGCAGAAGTTGGGCAGCATTAGCAGTGACATTCGGACCTTCTATCTAGTAGTGCACAAAGGCAGCGGAACAACTTAGGATACCTGTGTTAATGCTAATTATTACAGTGAACAAGAAAGACACTTTAGCAACGTGTAACAATTCATCCCGGCTGATAAAAACTTGCAAATAAGAGAACCTGTGTCAGTGTTCCTTGTCATTTAGGCAGAAACAGACAATATACCACTTCAAGGTCCAGTGTTGAGCTGAAGAATAACCTTACAAATGAATGCTGAATTTGCACCCCCAAATGGAAGACTTGAAAAATTCAGAAAACATGCAGCACACAGCTGCCTCTGGCCACTGGAAGATTTTACTTCAAATCTGTTTGGAATATAATTAAAAAGAACAATGCTAAATGTCATCTTCAAGGCAGAACATTTAAAAACAGAATACCTGACTTTAACGATGGCAGCAGAACACATGTGTACATTCGAAAGCTTGAATATATACTGTTTTTCGACATTTATTAAGTGTAAAAGTACAGTGTTTATAACATTTGTTTCCTACAAGACATATAATTTTGTATATATTTTTAAGCCTGCACTTGTAAGACGTTTCCTTCCTTAAGAAGTTTATATTTCTTGGTTCCTTGGAATAGTTCTTAGAGATCCCTATTGTATTTACAAATGAGACATTTCTTAATACAGATATCTATGCACCTCATGATCTATGGCAGAGGTCAGCAACCTTTTAAGGAAGAAGAGCCATTTTCTGATATTCTCAGAAAAGAAATTTTGCAAGAGCTGCTGTACTAAATTTTATACACTGTCTGCGCAGATTTATATACTTGTATTTCTGGAGAGCTCCTATATTTTTTCAGCTGATACCAGTGATTTTATACCAACAATATCTACACTGATTTATATATTTTATTTATAAGTCAATACAACAGATTGGTCAAATACTACTTCCTATACAAAAGCATTATCTTATCAACTGAATTTAAATATATTTTTAATGAATCCATGGAAAACATATTTTTCCTATCACTGAAACTTCCATCCTTCATTCCTATTACTGTCATGCATCATTTTATAGACTCCGTTTATTTTCAATATGAACACAGAGCCATTATATGTACTTAAAGCCTGCCTACTCTCAGTCTAAAGCATTGGTCTTCTGCCACTCAAACACTGAATCAGAAAGTTCTAATCCTGTTTGCAGTGTGTTTTTCAGTGCTGTTTACACTCTGCATATTTGTAGGCTCCTGATAAGCTAATATCTATAGTTTCACAATTACCAGTAATTCTGATTTGTAACATCCAGTCTGTTGAAAGGGAACAAAATTACAGGTCTTTATATGTAGCCTTGTATCAACCAGAGAGAAAGGTAAAAGGTAAAGTTACCCCTGTACTAAATGCTATGCCACAAAGAAATTATGCATAGCTCCACCTTTCTTGACCTTGGCATCAGATGGATCTTAACTACACTTGCCAAGTCACAGGTACCCCTATCACTTCATAACCACCAATACAATCCATATTCAAATAATTTTAACTACATATTACCCTTGATAAAGTAATGTAATGCTTAACAATTGGAGATTCCACGTTAGTGAAAATTTATACCGTTTCTGGGCTGTGATACTGCATACCTCAAGTGGTTAACAATGTTTCATATGACCTGCTGTAGATGGAGGTAGCAGCCTCCTCCCAAATGTTGATAACCACTAACAGGCTTTACAGGGCATAAATTCAGATCACAATCTAAAAAATGTTTACCTACATACCTTTCCATTATTTGATACATACTGAATTTTGCCAATATTACAATGTTACCACTTATGAAGTTTGCTCAGTCTGAACCTTGGCATTGCTGACAGGAGGGACAGGACATTGAGGATTGGTAGTGCAAATCACTGTAGCAAGGGAAACACAATAGACACCAAACACTTATTTACGCATGAATATCACTTTATTTAACAAAGGATGTACAACCAATGCTATCAACGCTTTCCTCCAACACGTGGTGCACTCTTCTGCTGGACTTTGGAAGCTTTTTGTTTTGGAACAGCCTTTGTCTGCAAACAAGAGAAGCAACAAGTAATGGTACTGTCAGTGATTGCAAAAATTCTGTAACTAACGTTATGTTAGTAACAATAAAAAGCGGCACTGGTGACTAGAGATTTCAAATTTGATCACAGTCCACTGAAAATATTAACATAATCCCATTTATTAAAAGACTGTCTGATTCCAGAGAAAGCCAGTCCTTTCTGAAGAATTGCAAGTACTTACTTACTTTTGAAGCTAAGCCCTTCTTGAGGAGAAGCCACATCTGCAGGTACTCAAGAATTTCCCAGCATTTTATGCAACCCGAAGATTCATTACCGTGTTCACAAGAGCCCTCCACCAGTCCCTATCCTGAGCCACATCAATCCAATCCATACCATACCATCCCATCCATCTCTCTAAGATCCATTTTAATACTGTCCACCCACCTAGACCTTGGTATTCCCAGTGGTCTTTTTCCTTCTGGCTTTCCCACCAATATCCAATATACTATTTATAATAAAATTACGAAGGTCGATCAATAAGTACCCGTGCTTGAAGACAGGTGGCGTTGCTGAGGGAAGTTGGCATTACCATCGTGTACTGCCATCTGTCAAACGACACCATACTAAATTTCAGACTGATTCATAGGTTAGTTTTTATTTGGCAGCCAGTTGCATCAGACGTGTTTCCTCTTTCTCGATACAATGGAAAAAGTGCAATATCAATCCATAATTCACTTTTTATTTTTGGATGGAAAAACATGTGAAGAAATAAAAGCGAAGTTGGATGCTGTCTATGGGGACCTTTCACCATCTATGACAACCGTGAGATATTGGTTCAACGAATTTAAACGTAGTCGTACATCTGTTTTTTATGAGGAGCGGCCAGGCCACCCGGCAGATGTGGTTACCGATGAAATCGTTGAAAAGGTCCACGACATGATTCTTGCTGATCGCCAAACTAAAGTGCATGAAGTAGCAGAGGCCGTAGGCATGTCGTACGGAACGGCAATCAATATTTTACATGATAAGTTAAGTATGAGAAAGGTGTCGGCCTGATGGGTGCCACGATTGCTCACAGTGGACAACAAGCGGATACGGCTGTCAATGTCGAAGCAGTGTTTGGGCCTCTTTAAGCGAAATTCGCAGGAGTTTTTGCGTCGAGTCGTCACCATTGATGAAACCTGGATACATTATTATATGCCAGAGACCAAGCGACAGTCAAAACAATGGATTCTTCCGGGTGAATCTGCTCTACAGGAGAAGACGGTCCCATCGGCTGGAAAGGTCATGGCCACGATTTTTTGGGATTCGAAGGGAATAATCCTCATGGACTTTTGCAGAAAGGAAGAACGACCACGGGGCAGTACTACAGTAAATTACTGGACCGATTCGATAAGAAATTGAAGGAGACACGGCCCCATTTGGCTAAGAAACAAGTGCTGTTTCACCACGATAACGCATCAGCACATTCATCTGGAATTGTCGCTGCCAAATTGCATGAACTGCACTACGAATTACTGCCACACCCACGGTACTCGCCCGACCTGGCTCCCTGCGACTTTTTCTGTTCCCCAACATGAAAACTTGGCTCAGGGGAAAAAAATTCAGCTCAAACAAGGAGGTTATCGCCAAGACAGAAGTGTATTTTGAAGAGTTTGACAAATTGTATTTTTTGGAGGGGTTAAAGAAATGGCAGAAACGTTGGGAAAAGTGTATCGACCTCAAAGGAGATTACGTTGGAAAATAAAAATGTGAAAAACTTGTGTCTTTATTCCTAACACGGTACTTATTGATCGACACTCGTACCTAGAAGGAACAGGAAAGTTCAGAGGTTTGTAAAGGTGATGTGATGTGACTAATGCATATTTTGGGTTACATAGCTGCTATTCAGAAACACGTACATTACACCATTAATCAAGCCAATGTCAGGAAAGAGTACGTCTGTAACTGACTCTACACAATGGATTAATAAAGTAATTTTATGGCCAGGAAATGATGATGAACATATCAGTGAAGTTCACAAAAGTCCTAATGAACAAAATGAAATAAGTGTAGACCCCATTCTAGACACATAAGATGAGCCTTCTGCAAAGATACATATACCAGCGGAGTTTCAGCTCATACTGAATGTATTACTTTTTATTTCCTAGTAGGGTCTATGATCGAGGTGCCTAATGACATCATGCATACATATACATTACAGTATTAACAATCATTACTTTACAAGTATAATGTTTTTGGACATTATCCACCGTCCTGTCTATTTTCTAAAATAGAAGTCCTGTTTATTTTTCAAAACAACGTTTAGGAGAATGGATTCTGTCCCTGTCCTCAGGTAGAACCTAATCAGTTGGATCCAATAGAGCTAGTCCCTATCTCCAGATTCTGTCCCCGTCCTCCCATCTGAGTAGGTTTTACCTGAGGACAGGGAAAGAATCCAGTGTCTGAAAAGTTGTTTTGAAAAATTAACAGAACAGTTTTTTAGAAAATAGACAGGACGATGGATAATGTCCAAAACCACAATACTTGTAGCAATGTACCAACCTCACAAAGTTTTAGATCTCATGATATTTATTTTGTTGCTGAATATGCTTGAAATTAACACAAGGCACATATAAATAGTTTCTTCATGTACCTCTTATGATATTTATGCAGATTTGGATTTAAGCAGTTATGTGGGTATATTACCCATGTGTCCACTATCTTAACGGTTTTAGTTTAGATCTCCCGACACAATTTTGTTGAATGCTTAATTCTAGGATCAGAAAGGAGAACGCATATTATACAATATAAAGACCAGTGGGAGCAAGCAGACTTTCTCAGGCATAGCACATATATTTGGAACAATGCACTGTATGAGCTTGTTTGGGGGGGGGGGGCACGCAACAACATTTTATGATGCACTCATATGACACTTCTCACTGTAACTTCAGTAATTCACTTACACACTTGAGTGAAAATCTTATTCAGTCAAGCATAATTACCATTCCTTAGTTTCTGGCATCAGGCAATAAAATCTTTCTTTCTTTCTCTCTTCTTGCAACAGATCTACAGAATACCACAAAATGATTTCCATCCTAAGTTCATAACAAAAATATTCTATTAGGTGGAGTAATGTACATTTCCATTGGACAGAAGGCCCTGGATTCTTTCTAACATTCATATTGGTAGTATAATTTTACACCCATTCAAAACCAATGATTACTGCAAGCATGCTAAGAAATGTCCCTTTTCTTCTATATGCATTATGTGATGCACACCATTACTACTACAGCTTAGCCCCTAGTTCTGAAAATTAAACATCCTGAAATGAAAGCAGAGTCACAGTACGTAGGCAATGATACATCTTTCGTTTGGCAAAAGCATACCTAACGCAGCCATCAACAATCACATACATAAGGTAAAGCTACCTCTGTAACAGGCCATGGAGGCCCACAGGGTTGTGAGATGTTGAGGGTCCCACATTATCTAGACATTTGGCTCACAGATGGCAATAAGGCTGTCAGCCTTACGTGCTGGCTGCCCTTTACCCCCAGGAATATTCCTGGTATTCATTTCTGTAAGAGACTGAGTTGACTCCAGGGCCATAGTGCAGCTGGAAGGATTAGGTAAATTGAAAAATATCCACCTAATCATGACTCAAAACTCGTGACCTTCCAGCTTGTAGCATAGTGCCTCAACCAACTACACTACCGTGTGCCCCCAATCAAACACATAAGCCTTCAATAATGATATCACATTTCTCAATCACGACTTGATCTTTTGTGAATTTAAAGCCCATCTCCTCCATCCTCAGATTATCCAAACTGCTCAATTTCAAATGGATAATAAAAGCCAGAAATCTGCCAGAGAGGCCAATATACAGCTGATTCAGAATTAACAAATTCAGCCCTATTACTTTCAAATTATTACTCATTTCAGTTTAATGTATTTCTTCAATCTTGCAATATTCCACAATTTTGTTTCAGAAACACCTTTATATTACAGTTTAAAAAGTACACCTTTACAGTTTTAAATTCGCTCCAAGCTGTTACAATGAACAGAGAGCATGCCATATAACGCATGAACTTGCCTTAGGTGGAGCCTGAACCTTCTTTGCCGCTTTTACAGCCTTCTTCTGCTCTTTTGCAGCCCTATTATGAAAATACAATGGGTCATTAACAAAATGAAAATGTTACATTACATATGTGCGAAGACGTGTGTCATTGCTCAGGCCTTTCAATTATATCATTCTTTAATCATTGGATTGACAGATTGTTATTCATCATCACAGCAACAACTTCAGCCATTTCTGTATCAAGTGATACCTAGGTCCCACTTACACAGAAAACCTGCAATTATGAGCATAATCTATAAACTAGTAGAACAATATGGTCTTTGAAAAGGACAATCTTGCATGGAAGATAATTTTACCATTTGGCAAAACACAGAAAAAAGTAGGGAATTCAGTCCTGAGACACATATTCCTTTGAGAGACTATGAAAATTGTTTTGACAGAATAAACCATAAAATACTGTGGCAAATTATTGAAAGAGGCTACCCATAACTTCTAATGCATGCCATCAAGTCCTACCAAAACACTGCAATAATTTTACATATGGAAGATGATGCTCAAAAGATATTTAAAAAAACACAGTTTGACCCCAACCTGACTTAATATTTAGAACATGTCATCTGAGAAGGAACCAAGAAATATGATTAAAGGAAACCCGTTTCCTTGAATACACTATTTGCAGATGATCAAATTACAAGTCAAAAAGGGTGAAGATGAATTGAAAGATCTGCATTTCACCTAATTACATAATCCATGAAAAAGCTACACTTTATTAAAGATCTCAATAAATAAAAGCAAAACAAAATACCTGTGCGCTTAGATCATTACAGCTGCAAATGTAGGGAGAGTACCAACCATATCATACAACTGCTCAACCTCTTGTTTATCCTTCCTTTTGGAAAAATGCTTGCAGTATAGGGATTTGTCTATGTTTATTTTCTTATTAAACATAAAAGTATATGTCTAGTGCAATATAACCATGTGACTACTGCACATAATGGTGCAGTACTAAATGCATTTAGTCAATGTGCTTAAGCTACTGGAGCAAAACATTGCTGTTCTTGAAATCACACGGTTTCTGAACATGATCAAATAACACTCCAAAAATATTGTGGGAATTTGTTAATAGAGAACAAGGCTCACCAGAAAATACTCTCACTGGTAATATACACTTAAAGAGATGGAAATGAAATAGTCTCAAGTCCGAGTAGAACATGTAACATATTTAACAAAACCTTCATAGAAACTGTAAATAAACTTATACTTGACAAAAATTTATTTCATCCACTAGTAATAACAATATAAGCATAAAAAATTCACTTGTCCTATTAGAAATAATAGACACCGAATTGATTAAAGTAATTCAGGGAATGAAGAATAAAAAATCAAGCTTCAGCGTAATATCTTACCTTATAGCCTGTTCACGCTGGGCTTTCCTGACTTCTGGTTTCATATTCCTCTTGGCTATGATGTCTGTAAGAGAAGCGCCCACAATGGCTCTCTGGAACTTTTGCGTGCGACGTGTGCGTTTCTTTGCCTGCTCCTCTTCCTGGCCCTTTTTGTGTTTACGCCTGTAAACAACATTCACTTCTTAAAACACTTTTTGGGTTTAAAATTTTTCAAGAAGTAACAATGGCTTGACAAAAAATATTAACTACAAAGTCACAAAAAAAGTAATTTGAAAGCAACATACCTGTACAGCACGGTCCACGTAACTTTCCTGGGATTCCTCTTCATTAAGTATGACGATTCACATTTCGCGTTCAAGAAGGTAAATGTCTGATAAAGAAAATTACTTCAATTAATTTTTAGTTACACTATTATGACCGTCCTGACTATACACGTTTTTCGGCGATACTTACCTTGCCATCAGTTTTAACCATGGTTTTCCCATGGCCGGGATATATTTTATATCCACTATATGCACACAATCCAATCCTGAAACACACATATTTAAAAGATAAATACAATTTAATGAACAGTTAAAGGATGCTTTGGAAAAATGGCTGATAATTATTACAAGAAACAACGCCTACTTACTTCATCTTGCTGATCTTGCTCAATTGTCAAATGGAAACATGGATTACTATAGTTACAAAAGAAAGCACGGGTTACTATAGTTATACTCTACATAGAATGGGATACCAACTACTGAACACTGAACATTCAATACTTTCAATACCGTCAACTAAGTTTAAGATGTTTTAAGATTATAGAAGTCTACACAAATCGCACTCGTCATATATACAAATAATTCTCATTGCTGCAGATTTTAAACTTCCACGGTGGTCGATTATCTGTGTTAATTCTGTTCGTCGGTTGTTGCAGGGTAATGTTGTGGGAGATTGTGGTCATTGTGGTGACGGTGGTGACCGGCAAGAAGTACGGATGGAAGTCTTTGAAGCGCATAAAGGTTGGCGTTTTGAAAGAGGGTTGTAGGGGTGTCTCTTATTTTTGTTTGTGGCATTAGTTTCCGTAAAGATGAAGTTAACAATATCCCGGTATTGCGTTATGTTGTTCGTACAGTTTGGCCTCTTATTTGTTGACATCTTAGTGAACTGTTTTTCTGACTTTGCTCGGAAGAGCAGCGTAGTTGTGTTATTACTTTTCATGTAAGTTTTGTAGTCTTTTTACACGGTTTTCAGGAACGTATTATATATAATTATATACAGTAAAAAAAGTAAATGTACCCCTGTAACAGGCCGTGGAGGCCCATAGGGTTGTGATGTTGAGGTTCCCACATTTTCTAGACAATCGGCTCATAGATGGCGGCAAGGTTGTCAGCTTTACGCCCCGGGCCGCCCTTACCCCCAAGAATATATCAAGAATATTCCTGGTACTAATTTCTGTTAGAGGCTGAGTCGACCCCAGGGCCGTAGTGCGGATGGAAGGATGAAGTCAATTGAAAAAAAATCCGATGATATCATCGGGACTTGAACTCGCGATCTTTCGGCATGTAGCATAGTTCCTCAACCAACTACGCTAACGCGTGCCCCAACTGAATGCGTTATTATTATGTTAAAATAATAGATACTGAAAATGCAGTCAGGCCAAGGTGTTAGTTATTTAGGTACATGCGAAGTATATCCAGCGGACAGTAAGATATTAATATGTTGATAAAATGGTTATCGAAGTTCGTAATTTTCTATCTTGTAAATTTATGCAGGCTTTTTCATTTGGATCTCATAGTTCCCAATCTGTGTGGAAGTATTTTTTGGGCTTTCTTCCCAGAGCATTTTCTGTAGTTTAACGCCGAATAAAACCAGAGTGGAATTTGAACTCTAGATTTTAGTCAAACTTTGTTAGTCATGCTAAGAGTCTGTGGTTTGTTGAATATCATTTAATTTTGTAATACCAGCGCTTGCCTTAAAATTGTGTGCCATATTTCATTCACTTTAGAGTCATTCTGTCATGCTTGATATTTGTATAGTTATCTAGGATTATGTGAAACATCTCTTTTGTGTACATTTTGTATCATTACACCCAAAACAAAATGAGATGTGCTGGCATGTAAAATTTTTCCATTTTCTGCGGGTTATGTAATTTGTTGAACCTCCACACTATGATGCAAGTGAATTGATAAATGCTTGCTTATATTGTGACACCATTTCACATTAAGTCTAATGGTGAACATAACATAGAGCCTAACAGATCATTTCAAAATACAAAAATAACTTCAGATGATATCTTATGGAAAACACAAAAACACCAAAGGTTGGATATGTTTGAACATACAATTATAGAATGCGAAGATGGTGGTAAAGAGTGTGCTAGTGATACAGATATATGTCAGTAGTCCTGAAAGGTTTCTCTGCCCTACTAGCAATTTTGGTTTATACATTATACTAAATAATGCTAAATATTGAGTCAGGTAGTGTAGTGGTTAAGGCACTATGCTGCAAGTCGGAGGGTCACTGGTTGAAATACCGATGAGGACATTGGATTTTTTTTCAGTTGACGTCATCCTTCTGGCTGCACTATAGTGGGGTTCACTCAGCCTCTAACAGAAATGAGTACCAGGAATTAAATAAATAATTTTCCTGGGGAGTAAAGCGCGGCCATCGCGTAAGGCTGACAACCTTGCCGCTATCTTTGAGCCGATTGTCTAGATAATGTGGGACCCTCAACGTCTCGCGACTCTATGGGCCTTCACGGCCTGATACAGGGATAGCTTTACTTTTACTTACTTTACTTAGTAACTAACATAAGTTTGCTCAAGATTGGTTTTAGTGTATGTCATGTGAAACAAAATATGCATCAGAGTAACAGAACTGGAATTAGTTCACACTCTTCTGAATCATTATTTGTATTAAATGAAAGAATTGTTCATATTTTTGTGAGTATTGGTGAAGGATTCTCAGCCATGGCATGCATGCATGAATGATTCAAAAAACAAAGAAAATTATATGTATTATATGAATAAAGCTTTTATAAATTCGTACCCAAATGTAAAGTACGTGTATAAATGCTCTACAAATAAAGATATAGGGAATATAATAAAATCTCAAACTCGTGTGGATATGATGAGATATCACCCATTATTTTAAAAATAAGCTTGCCATTTATAATTTTACCTATAAACTATATATGCAATAAAATGCTAAGGGGAGGAATTTTTCCTGATAGACTAAAATATGTGATAATAAAACCCTTGTATAAGAATGGTGATATATGGGATGTGTCTAATTTTAGACCTATATCACTTTTAATATCTTTCTCAAAAATATTTGAAACTATAATATATACAAGAACTTTAGACCATCTTAATAAGTATAATATCCAAATTACTGAACAATATGGATTTAGGAAAGGATTAGAAACTGATAATGCAGTTTACAAATTGACTACAGCGATTTTAAATTTTATGAACTACAAACAATTAGTGGCAGGTTTTTTTTTGTGATCTGGAGAAAGTCTTTGACTGTGTAGATAATGATATCTTGTTGTCCAAACTTAAATTTTATGGTATTACTGGGAAAGATCATGCACTTTATGAATCTTATTTAAGTAACAGAGATATTAGAACAGTAATACATAAAAGTGATGTGAATACAGTATCCTCAGGTTGGCTTATTGTTAGACAGGGAGTGGTGCAAGGGTCTGTATTGGGACCTTTGTTATTTATCTTATATATAAATGACTAGCATAAAATATTAAATAAATTTCCTACACCTATAATTTTTGCTGATGATACTAGCATCTTAAGCCGGAAGGTCGCGGGTTCAAGTCCCGATGAGTTCATTGGATTTTTTCAATTGACCTAATCCTTCCAGCCGCACTATGGCCCTGAGGTCAACTCAGCCTCTAACAGAAATGACTACCAGGAATTAATTAAATAATTTTCCTGGGGAGTAAAGCGCGACCGGTGCGAAGGGCTGACAGCCTTACCACCATCTTTGAGCCAGTTGTCTAAATAATGTGGGACCCTCAACATCTCACAACCCTATGGGCCTTCAGGATCTGTTATATATTCATTTACTTCATATCCATGGATCATTATACATGATATAGGACAAGTCAGAGTTATATGATATCAACACCATAGGTAAAAATAATTTTTACCCTTCACAACCAAGGTTGTCTGTCTATAAAAATGGTGTTTATTATATGGGTATAAAGGCACTTACCTCCCTGCATAAAAAAATTGACCGATGATAAGAATCAATTTAAAAATACTCTAAAAATTACCTTCTATTGAATTCTTTTTATTCACTGAATGATTTTTTTAATAATAATTACTAATTTTAATATGCATTTTTAATATTTTATGTATCATAGGTGACTTATTTTGGCATAAATATGTTATCATCTACCTTTTGGTATGATGATTTTTTACAATATTAAATTTAAGATGTTATGTATAATGTTAAAGTAAGAAGATTAACA